ATTAAAAATTAGGAATTTTGGATAATTACATGTTAGGAATAATTAAATTTTTACTAAATACTGGCACAGGAATTGAATGGATGACAATAGAGACAAATTAAGATTTGTTTTAATCCTTAGTTTTATGCTAAGGTAAAGTCAAGGGCTCTACTTTCCAGTGAAAGAAAAATTTCCTTTAAAATTGTTTCCCTCTTCTATTATTACTGAAAAGCAAAGAAAGTATTTTTTCTAACAGTGATTATAGGATTCTCAATCTTTCATATTAACTTTTAGGTACTACATGTAAGCTACATAAATCTTTCTCCAATCTACCTCTATTAAGTAGATTAAAAAGCAGATATTGAACTAAAAACATCTAACTGTTGATTTTCTATAATTATAGAATATATTTTCTTCTGATATTTAAAGTTTGTATTTAGGCATATTAACTCGACAATTTTTTAATCTAAAGTTTAATATGTTAATGTAGAAAACAGCTGAGGCTATTTTCTCTCTATAAAACTAACATGCCTTTTCCAATTAACTTAGTTTCCTTCTTAGCAAAAGTTTAACATTTATCTCTATTCTGAGTTACGTTGTGGTTGCATAATGTGGAAATATCTTAAGATTTAGCCACTTCTATGAAGATCCTATATTTATTACAACACCCCTCTTGCCCAGAAGAAAATACATCAACAAAAAGTGCTACTATATGTTCTGCATTGACTATTACAAAGCAGTAGGGGGAGCAGCCAGAGAAAGCACTGAGACAAAGCACCCCAGCGAAGCAACTTAATTTACAGGCAACAGAAACATGCTAGAGAGGTTTGTCAAAAGTCAAATACACAAAATAAATTCCATAAAGAAGTCATGACTACATTTGTAAAGCTGGCCTAAGTACATTCGAAATGAAGTATAGAAAAATCTGAAGTCTCTTAGGGGCTGGATTCTAACTTCAAGACAGACTTTCAGCTTGAAACACAGTCATTTCCAGCCACGCCAAACCTCAACCTGCCCCCAAAATTAGAGAGCAGAAACAAAATACCATTTTTATAGTGATACATCTTGGGAAGAACTCAAAACGATTTCGTTTTCTCCTTTGAACCTCACTGAACTTACAGGGAAGGCCTGGTGAAAGGTGCATTATTAGGTCACAAGAGGATAACGTTACAGGGTTCCATAGCATAATCCTTGAAAGCCCTGAGGCCCAGACCGCTCACTGTCCTTCTCTCCTCTCCACTGATTCCCATCCTCGATATACTTTCTATGAGAGAAAGGTAACCAAAAACATGGTGAAACTATTCTACTTAAAAGGTGTTTTACTACAAAGGCACATTGACCACTAACCCTTATTACATTTTACATGTTCTAAAAATTAGTAAGGTCTGCATTTTCAGTTTTAGAGTAAAATGGGAAAAGTACTTAGTTAGCTCTTCTGTCTGGCATTCTGTAACTGGAATTTAAGAAAAACCTAAACTTCTAATTAGAACTTCAGAATGTTCATGTCTGTATTATACCACAAAAACTATAAATATAATTTAAGCATTTTTATGATACAGAAATGTGTGCTATAGACAGTTATCTAAGAATTATAAAATTCCATAAAACTTGAAATGTCTAGTATAAGTTACAACCGAATGGTAAAAAGACATTTTAGCCATGTAAGCAACCAATGAAGTTTGACCTAAAACCCAAATAATAGCAATAACAACAGATACAGTGCCTACTATTGTCAGATACTATATTAGCTAGCTCTTTCTTATATATTCTTTTGAACTCTTACACTGACCTTTCAAGCTAGTTATTATGATGCCCATTTTATGCTAAGGAAACTGAAGCTAAAAAAATTGAAGTCATTTCTCTAATGTAACTCCATTAGCAAGAAACAAAACCGTAATTCAACTTCCAGGTTTGCCTGCCTCCAAAGCTTTGAGACCTCACTAAAATTACGCTCAGTTGTAGCAATGAGGTTCCAAAGGAAATCTGTACAAATCTCAGGCAGATTAATGTGCTTATAAGGGTAAATGCTGTAGATTTAATCACTCAAATTAAATGCCATCTGGAATCTCTTACCCCACTTGGTACAAGCATCCTACATGTGTTATAGCCAACCCTAGCCTTGGCCAAGAATTCAATAATTTTCCTGCTTCAATGCCATCAACAAGCAAGCAACATTATAATACCAATACAGGAAGTACAGCTAGTTGCTCCTAGAGCATCATTTAAAATCTGCTAATTGGTTAAGATGCCTTTTATTAAGAAGTCTAAGAAACAGAAATAATGTGTTAATCCAGTTTGTTTAATGGGTTTGAGGAATCAGTTTCTTCCTTCCTAACACCTAAATCCATCTCCATAATAAGTATTTTCTATCACCATTTAAAAATCCTGATCTCTTACTAGTGTTTTTATTGTGCTTTTCGCTCTATTACAGTAAATTTTTTAAAACCTCAAGAGAGAACAGAGAATACTGTCATAATTTTTCAAAGGCTAAAAGAGAATAAACTGAAAATACCAGTTGGTTTGAACACGTATATGTAAAAAGAATGGATGGTAATAAAACTAACAACCGAAAAGCAATGTTTCAGATTCATTCATTCATACTCAAGAAAATATCCAATAACTTGAGTGGAGATGATGCAAGTGGTACATATTTCCAGTTCAGACTGAAGGTGTGGCAACACTCACAGGGGCCTTCAGATCAGCTGCTCCAACTCAGTTTACAGCTTTTGTGGATGTGGCTTATTCATGCCCTTGTTATCAAGAAGAAGAGTAACTTTACAACCCTTAGCAAGAGCTTTTTTTTTTCTTTCTATGCCAACCCTTTTTTGTCTATAAAAGTCATGTAAGCTTAGCACTTATTTAGAAATAAATAAGTGAAAGAACACATGAATGGCTTGGACATTAAAAGTTTAAGCTACAGCTTAAGCTGAGCTAAGTTTAATGTTAAAAATTAGTGTGACGGCAATGATTTTTCAGTTCAGCTCTGTCGTGGGCTAGGAAAAAATATCGTAATTTTTCAGCCACAAGACATAAACATTGCTAGAATGACTACATTTTGAAAAAATTATCTTCTCGCTTTACCTAGATTTCATTTTAACCAAACAGACCAACCTCTCCTATCAAACCTGTAAATTAACTCAAAGTCTAATTTGGGGCCTTCATAGTAAAGATTACTTTTTCTAAATCTCTGTCTTATCTGGTGCTTTTAAAAGAAGGGATCATTTTAGGCAATCATTATGACCTAAAAAAATTTTAAATCTTAATGTACAGATTAATTCCTTGACAGCTGAAGTCATTTACAATACATTATTAAATTTCACATTCAGTATTAAATCCAAACATAGGTCTCAACACGAAGAATATGGATTTTAGGGAAAGCAACTAGCTGCTCAAATTCATTTAGCTGAAAAACTACTGTCAAAGCATCTTGAAAACATACACTAATGCTTGTACATTGCTAAGTGGCTTTTGATTCTGCTCTTCCTTTTCTTACACAGAATCAACCACACAATGGAATTAAGAACTCTGGCCCATGGCAAAGTGCTCCCATTTAGCAGTCAGGACACTGGACATATTCAGCATATGTCTACTGCTATTAAGAATCAAATTAAGAAAAAAAAAAAAACCCTGTATTTTATAAAACTAAGAATTTGTTACCCAAATGAGAACAAAGGTACCTAATGCCACAGCAGGGGGTAAGAGTCCCAGTAAGAGAGCAATAATTGGTCATTCTGATGAGGAGCTGTGCCAAATTTAGAAATGAGGCACAAATGACAAAAAACAGAATTGATCGTCAGTGTGGACATGGGTAGGTCAGTGTGCATATGGGTAGGTTAGTATCTGCTGGCCATGTCTACAGAGCCCCTTTTATTTATTTGAAGCCAACTTTTCACTTGACAATGCTACCTACAAAAGCACTGTTAATAGATAAGACAATCAAGTGGCTGTTATGCTGTGGCATTTTTGTAAAAACTGCATGAGAACAGGTGGGATAAAAACCATAGTAAGGTAGAAAAAAAAAGTATCACTCATTGAAAGATACGTGCACACAGATGAACTGTAAGTTAATATAACCTTCTTGACCTTGTTAATAGGTAGCCAAAAATACTTAAATATCTTGCAGAAGCAACTATTTGTCACACATTACCAGTCCTTACTGGCTGAATCCTTCAGCCATCTGCACATGACATGCACAGGCAAATAGCCATTAAAAACATATATAATTCCAATTATCTCCTTGCATAACTAAAGACAAAAAGAACAGGAAATCCAAAAAATACAGCAAAACTGAAAAACATTATACCTTGCCTTCCGTGCTATTTTAAGGCTGTCCCAGGCTGAAGGTTACTTCTCAGCCCTCAAAACTCCATTAACTGCCAAGACCAGCACCTTAGCACATATGGCACAGATGCCTAGTTGAAGCCTCCTTGTACTAAATGACCTCGAAAAACTGGGCTTTCTCTCCAAGATTAATGGAAACAAAAGTAATGATCATAAGGAACCTTCTAACTCTGTTAATGTTTCCTGCGGATGTGTATGGCCAACTGAATATATAAAGGCTCAGTTCTTGCGGGGTACCCTGACAACCAGATGAATTAGGGTGAAGGTTCCAAGTTCGATGAACTCTTCTGAGTTTGAGTGCCCTAGGTGGTGACATTCAAGTGACTTCACAGACATCCACCAATTCTTATTTTAACCGGGAATCCCAAGAACACCTTTAAACATGCAATGCCAATGGACCCTACTGGGTTTCTGCTACAAGGGCACAATGTCACTTAGGAACCCTGTGTCTTGGGAGGTACTTAAACTACGTCAAATTGCTTTTGGAAAATGTTTATCTGGCGTGACTAGGAGAGGCAAGGCATGGAAACAAGAACCTCCCTCTAAGGAGCAGAATAGCCAACATGCAGTAAGCCTAAAAAACCTCTGACTGTATTTCCCGGGGCTATGGGTACTAGCGGGCTCGCCGGCAGGGGAATCAGCAGCCTGGGGGCATCGGTGACAGCAGAACCGGGGCTTACCTTGTTGGAGGCCATCTCACTGACGGAGTGCCTGGTCTGTAGGGTCTCTAACTGGTCCAGACACCAGTCCAGCTCCTCCAGGGTCTCGCTGGCCAGTTTCTGGTAGGCCTCCTCTGCGAAGAGACAGGGAAAGGGGGACTCAGTTCTCAAGCGCTTCACGGGTCCGCTAGTGAGTTCAAAGGGGGCCATCCTGCCATACCCCGCCATGCTCGGATGCCCGGTGCCGGCACATGAGGGCTGCTCCTTCATATTGCCCAGCCCGGCAGTGCAACGGGGGCGGAGGCTCTGCTCGCGGGGCGGCTGGCCTCGGGGAGGCACGGTCTCTCCAGCTTGGCGTGACGGGTCGGCCTCCAAGGAGGGCGTGCAAAGAGCGGCGAGCCAACTTTCACACGGCGACGCGGGCGTAAAAACCACTATGCGACTTTTCAACTGTGCGGCGGGCCCAAGTCCCAGTCCAGGAGCCCGACTCTAGCGGATGGCGAGGGGATGGCGCGCGCGCTTTGGTGTCCGCCCCGCAGAGGAGCGTCTGGTCCACAGCCCGATCTCCTAGGTCCCCGGCCCGGAGCCGCGGCCCCACGCCCGCCCCGCCTGCCGAGCCTTCTGCACGGCACTTGAAGCGAATGAATCAGCCGCGGCCGGGTGCGCGGCCACCACGTTTCCTGTTTTCTTTCTCAACTCCTCGGGCGGCAGGCGCAGCGCGGCTCCAACGCCGCAGCTTTCCGGGAACACTCCCCCTCACGCCCCTCTCGGCCCTCAGCGCTGCCTGGCTCCTCCTCAACCCCCTTACGAAAAGATTCCGAATTGCAAAAGCCTGTCCATGCCAACCGCCGTGTCCTTCCCCTCGGGCTCTGCCCCGGGGGCCCCGCCACCTCGCAGTGCCATCCCCCCGGAGCAGCCGGGCGCCACTCGCTTTGAAGTGCAGCCGAGGAGGCGCGGCGCGAGCGTGTGTGTCTGTGGGGCTGCTGTGGGACTGTCTGTGCTAGGAGAGCGGCGGAAAACCCGGCGTGGAGCGCCTGCAGCCCGCCGCCCGGGGTCGCGCCCGCTGCGGGGCTTAGGAGGGACCTGCGCGCAGGCGCGCACGGCCGCGCACCTGCCCCGCGGGAACCCCGTGCAGCCCACTGAGCCACTGCCCTCCAGGTTGCCCGGACCGCTGGAGCCTCTGCGTCTCCAGGACCAGCTGCTTCCTGCGAAGTTTCACTAACAAGGTTATTTAGGACCCTCAATGTTTCTGAAGGTTTAAGGTTTAGGGTTTCTGGGGGTTCGTTTCTAAAGGTTTAGGATTCACCTACTTGAAGGAGGCAGGGTTGTGGGAATACCCGCGTTTCTATTAAGACCACATCCTTTTTCTACCCAGCCCAGTCTAAGTACCAGACTTCTAAATGTTGGGGCAGACAGAAACAAGCAAACAAAATATACAATGTTGCGGGATCGGAACGCTTTATAATTCACAGATTTGACAATAGGCTGCATTTTCATATGCAGAATTGCCTAAGAGTTATCTTAAAGGAACAGCAATGTGAAAGAACCACATGGTAAGGAGAATTTTCGCATGTCCTGCATACTACTCCTTTCCCCTGTGAATTGCACAAGACCTAGATGATCTTGGGCTAAGGAAGAAAATCTGGCATGGTGTTTCTACCTACCATGCGCAGATTACACTACAATTTTGAGAAAACGGAAAGACCATATTCAAAGGCATAGGGAAGTCTATTCTGTTTACAAAGGCTGACCTAGGGGACCAGGGGCACTCTCCCTAAGCAGACCAGTTGTGGGAGAACTTCTCTACATCAGCATGCAATAAGCAAACCATTCACAGTGGGGAGAAGTCAAACTCCCAAGAGTCCATTTTATCAAACTTTGTCATGGTCGAGTGGAAAGAAGATGCTGAGAAACTTACACGAAGTGGTGGGATCCTCTGTCTTTGTCTTTAAAAATCTACAGGTATTGGTGGAGAAGAAATTCTGCCCTTGAAATTTAGACTCCATAAATTATCAGTGGCACAACAAAGAAATTCATCGACTGAATTTAGTCTCCTCGGATTTTTCAGATAGCTTTTTATATGAAATTTGTAAAAGTTAGAGCGACTTTTAAAGTATTTGTTACATGTGCCACGTGGCTTGTTGTTATCAAGAATTCTTGAACTATTTACTGTTCACTTTGAGTACTCTACGTTAAAATTTGCCTCTTTTTTGTTCTACTTCCTCCATCCCGCAGTCTAAAGTAAAGTAAATATATGCTTTAGATGGACAAACAATTGCCTAAACCTTGCCAGGTGAATTAAAATTTCAGATTGAAGCTTTTTTCTTCCCCATTAACAATAGGAACAAGTTAAAGATATTAATAATTTTAAATGGTAAATATAAAATACTTGTTCTGTATAGCTTCCCCAAATCTAAGAATGTAAAAAATATTACATGCTTGTTATAAAAATTGAAGCATTACACACAAATATAGAAAGCCCATCGTAACCCCACACTCTAAAGATCACAAACAATACTTTCGCCTGTGGCTCTAACACAATCATTTTCATTTTACTGAATAATTTCCATATGCAAGTATAGCATCACCTAATTGCCATGGTAGTACATCTATTATATGGTTTGGTTTTGACATTTTCCTCTCTCTCTCATTCCCATAAGATAGGAATTTAGGAAATTTTAAGAGGACATTGACTTTGTTTATGATCATTTGAGCTGTCCATAGTTAGCCTATCCAGTGGATTAAAGATACGTAGCCATTGTGTTCAGGGATTTGTTCAGTACCACCTTTTCAATCATCGGTTACAATGAAGCTGGGAGTCCCCTCCGAGGTTTGGCTTTCTGTGGTTCCTCTCCCCTGCCCTCCATCTTTCTCAAAGCCTGAGCCTCAAGTGATTTCCCAGTAGCTAAGTAAACTGCCCCCCTGCCCCCATCTTCACCAAGTTCCCAAAGCTCTTCAGAAATCAAAAGTACAAACTCAGGCCTCAAATCTAACAGGATGTGGCTCCACACATTATATTTCAGTTGTTATTTTTTAATGTGGAAAAGTAATTTGGGAATGTTTTGGCTAATGCTTCAAGACATCATGTACTTTAGACACAGGATTTGCTCTTAAGAAGGTAGTATAGTGACAGGAGGAACAATTTATTTCAGAATATCCATTTTATGTCCAAGCCATGCACCAGTCATTTTTGACAGACAGGATTTGAGTATGATCATAAAGTGGTGTAAGCATGTATTTTAAGTTCTAACATCTTCTGTATAAATATGAAAAATGAAAAATCACTAGACCACATCTACATACTAGTGAGAAAATAATTACTAACAACAGAGTAAAGAACAGTTTGCTCTGTGAAACTGTTGCTGAAATAAAGGACTATTCTTGATATTAGCATAGAGCTGAGAATATTGCTTTTTTCCAAATTCCTAGGCGAACAGGCAATATAGCTAGCCACGATTTTTCAGGATCATTTGTAAAGCTTCACTTTTAGGAATTTTAACCCCAAGTGTTCTAAGACATCAAGTAACTGACCTTTTCATCCCTCCAAACAAACCTCAAAATGGAGTTGCCAACTATCCTACAGGAAATTGAGTCACCACACCAAGCAACACACCTAAATGTCGACAGCCAGCAGGACAAAAACAGTGAGCCAGTTTAATTTTGGCTTTTACCAAGAACACATACTGCATTCATTAATAAAATACATCCCCCTAACCCCCGCCAGGGTAGTATACACTGTGGCTCTCCTTAAAAATACATGAAAACTCTTTAACTGCCCCAAATCTTGCTAAGTCAAGGAACTAAACAGAGAAAAACACCCAAGCAAAAACTATTGGCTAAACTCCCTAAAGGCTGGGAGAGGGCTATGGAACAGCAACTGAGAAATAACTCGAGCCTTGAAGTCCCCTCCTACAACAGCATCAGTTTTCTTCAAGGCACCTTTGAACTATGTAACACTCGCGTTCTGCTCAGGCTCTTCTGTGAACAAACAGTCCTCAATTCTTGTGGGCCAGCACTTGGCTTCTGTCATAGTGATATGCTTAGAGGTTCCCCTGACACATGGCCTGAAACTGTGCCAGGGACTCCAGGAGAAGATGCTGAAGCAGCAGCTTCCTTTTGAAAAAGGAAAAAAGTAATCACCTCAGAGCCACAGCAGGTAGCTAGAGGTTGAGGTTGTTTTTTTGTGAAATGTTCAGTCCATTACTCTTACCCACAACTCACAGTGATGTTGACCATTGAGGTAAAAGGATCCACTGTGCGGGATGTATAACTATGTGGGCATTAGTTTCTTTGCCAACACTTGAAGGTCTGCTAAAGGACTGTATCAGCTTGTCATAATTCCTAGATAGACCTATTGGTATACATGAAGAGAACAAGTCCAAAATATACCACTTACTTTGGACACCATTTGCCCGCCCTTAATTTTAAAAAATAATACAAATTATAACAACTGATCCAGATTTTTTAAAAATAAAAGAACTATAACAAAAAGCTCCTAAGAGCAAATACTTAAATCTCCCTAACCAGTTCCAGCTTCTCTTAATTCTTACAAAATTTCCTCTTTATTCTAAGGAAGGAATTGATACTGTCTACAGTAGATAGAACTGGAGAAAATGATTTCTATTTCACTATGTATTGCTATGAGCTAGTCATTCCTTTGGTTTGCTACAGTAAAAGATTTGTGTAGGTTAGGTCTAACTTTTGCTGCTTAATTTTTTTTTCCTGTATACATTTTCTCTGATGGGAAATACATGAAGGCTCTGGATTCTCTTTCAATATGTACATGTAATAGGCTTAAGCAGAGCTTGCTAGTGGCAAGCCACTCTCATCTCCAAGTGTATTTCTGGCATCAAATTATTGTTTTGAAGTATTTTAAAATCATATAAAATATATAAAACTTTACTTAGTACTTCATAAAGCTTCCAAAGGAAAGACGTGTGTAATTTTGTGAGGGTTTTCTTTTTCTTTTATCTTCCACTATCTACAATTGTTTTTCTAAGTGTTGCCTATGGCTGTAGAATTTTTATATGAAATAAACATGAGATTGGCTTTCATTGACTTTTTAGTCCCACCGGTAACTCAACATTTATTTAGCACTGACTATGTGCCATGTACTTTATTAGAGGCTGCAGAAACAAGATGATGGAAAGAGTGTGTCCCTTACCCAGAGCCCAGCAGAGGAGGTAATTTCAGCATACTACTGTAGAATGCACTCTCACAGAAGGAAGCATGTGGGCTATGGGACAGTAAAAGAGGATGATTTAAATCAGACAGGGACAGAGGTGGAGTGGGAAAAGGCTGAGTCCTCAAGAATGAAATAAAAGAGAGTGGGAAGGATTTTTAAGAGAAAAGATGAGCAAGCACGCAGACCTATGATGAACAAGATGTGCGTGTGTCAGCTGGGTGCAGTGGCTCAGACCTGTAATCCCAGCACTTTGGGAGGCCAAGGTGGGTGGATCACCTGAGGTCGGGAGTTCGAGACCAGCCTGACCCACATGGAGAAACCCCATCTCTACTAAAAATACAAAATTAGTCAGGCTTGGTGGAGCATGCCTATATTCCTAGCTACTTGGGAGGCTGAGGCAGGAAAATTGCTTGAACCTGAGAGGCGGAGGTTATGGTGAGCCGAGATCGTGCCTCTGCACTCCAGCCTGGGCGACAAGAGCAAAAAACCCTCCATCTCGGGAAAAAAAAAAAAAAAAAAAAAAAGACAAAAGACACACACACACAAAAAAAAGGTGTGTGTCATAAAAGAAATTACCATGAGTAGGCCCTTACTTAGGGGAACAGATTCTGGAGAAATCTGAGAAATCCTCAGCCACTGGCCATCTCAGAGACTGGCCATGTCAGGCATCTGTAGGTAGGACTATATCTTCAAGTGTAGGAGTCACAGAGTGACTCAGAGTACTGTGTGACATGGGATCTGATTTTATTTTCTATGGAAAATTCTAGCACTATGCAATTAATGGAATTGAAGAAAGTAAAGTTGAAGTCAGTGAAACCATTATCTTTGACCATATTAAGAATACAATTAAATAACTTACACCATTTGCTTCTCTGACGATTATTCATATCTAAGACAATCTCTGTATTAAAATCCTACGTAGACATATGTTCCCACAATAAGTCAGGCATGAACAGAAGGACTGTCAAATGTGACTTGAAAGGGGGTGGACTTCTTGCTCTTGAAAACTACAACCTTGTAGTCACTAACTTATTAATCACACTGTAATAAGATGGAGAAAAAAACAATGGAATTCACCAACATTTCCTTCACGAGAGTCTGCCTGCATGAAAATGTTTGATAAGGCTATTTATGACAGAAGGTGAGACTTTGAAGAGCTTTCGTTTGGGTAGAATGAATCTGTGCCTCATCTACACTGGAAAGGGAGGAATATGGAGGGAATGTGTATGTGTGTGCATGTGTGTAAGTGCATGAGAGAGTGAGAGAATGTGTGTGTGTCTTTGTGTGTGTGTAAGAGAAAGGAGTCAGCTTGGTCTATGTGTGTGCATGTATGTAAGGGCATGAAAGCGACACACAGAGTGTGTGTGTGTGTATGTGTGTTTGTGTGTAAGAGAAAGGAGTCAGCTTGGTCTAAAGAGTAACTCCAATTTGTACATTTTCCCTCTCTCCCAATCATCAATAAGGTTATTGAAGGGGTGTGTATGTGTGTGTGTGTATAAGAGAAAGGAGTCAGCTTGGTCTAAAGGGTAACTCCAACCTGTACATTTTCCATTTCTCCCAATCATCAATAAGGTTACTGCAGTTACAAAATCCTGACTTTAAAAGATTTTTTGTTTTGTTTTCTTTTATTCATTGAAGGCACTGAGCTTGAAGGCCAGATTGGCCCAAGCAGAAATGTCTCTCTGAGCTGACATGAGATAAGAGGCAAAGAAAGAGGAGAAAGCTTTTATAAGAATAGGGAGGGCTTTTGTCTAAAAAATTGGAGTTTGATCCAAGTTTAATTAGGCCTCCAGGCTGGGGGCTTCATGTGACATGTGTGCAACTGTAAGTGATATTATTCTTTGAAAGAAACTAGAAGAATGGAGAAAGGCTCCAATCTCTATTCCACCACATACAAGCAATTCCAGGCAATTCAGCTAATCTTTCTGGGGCCTTATTTCACCTATAGGTTGGAGATAACAACAAGAACCTTGTAGGTTATTTTAGTTCAAGTGAGAGGTTGTGAGTTAAATAATCTTGTATTGATGCCTAATAGATTCTTTTCCCTTCCTCCTCCATTGTATCTTCTCTTCTCCTGGACTTAAGTCTCTAACTT